ATCTCGCCCCTAACTTTAGAGGTGTTATTTGTCTCATTATTCAGAAGGACTTAATGAGTTGTAAAAGAAGAATAAAAAAAGATATCACTGGTTTGAAAAAAAAATAAACTGCATCTTTTATCTAATCATCCTAAAGAAATGTAGCTTTCGATGTAAAAGTACTTATTCTTATTAGTGCTATTATCATTGTCAACATTGCAAAATTAGCTTAATCACTGTTATAAAGTTTATCATAAAAAATAATACCTTATACTATAGCTATCGTTATTATTATAATTATCATCATTATTTGTTCTTATTATCCTTGTTATAAACATAATCATTATTATCATTATCATTATCATTACTATCATTACTGTTATCATTATTGTTGTCATTATTATTGATATCAACATTATTATTATTATTATTACTATTATTATCATTATTGTTATTACTATCATTATTATTATTATGATTATTATTATTATCATCATCATCATCATCATCATCATCATCATCATCATCATCATCATCATCATCATCATCATCATCATCATCATCATTATTATCATCATTATTATTATTATCATCATTATTATTATTATCAATATTATCATCATCATTGTTATTATTATCACTATTATTATTGTTATCATTATCTTTATTATTATTATTATTATTATTATTATTATTATTATTATTATTAATTCTCAACACAAAGCATGTGATCTTTTTCGCTTTGGAATAGTCACTGTGAATGCGGGCACCAACCAGCTGCCTAAGAACTCACAGGTCTCTGAACCAGATTTTTTTAGGAAACAAGTACCAATCTTAATACTCTTGCTGTCCCAAGTAGCGCTGTTTTCTGTACATGCTCGATACAAATTTCTATCCCAATCTCTTGCATAAATTTCCCAAGCCGATTTGTTATCGCTCCCAGTGCTTCAATGACAACCGGAGTTACAGTCACTTTCTGCATTTGCCACAGACGTGCAATCTCATCCTTCAATGGTTTGTACTTATCAATCTTTTCTATCTCTTTCTCGCATACTCTGACATCTCCAGGTATTGCAATATCTATGATTTTAACCTCTCTTTTTTGCTTGTCCACTACAACGATGTCCGATCGGCGGGCCTCAATCTCCCTGTCACACTGAATCATGACATCCCACAAGATCTTATAATTAGTATTCTCAATTACCCCATCCGGCTTATGATCATACCATTTGTTGGCTTTGTCCAGTTCATATTTTTCACAGAGGCGCCAATGTACATACTTGGCAACATTATCATGCCTCCGCTTGTATTCCCTCTGCGCCAACATACTGCATTCACTTATAATATGTGTAACTGTTTCATTTTTATTGCCACACATTCTACAAAATGGGGAGTCAATGGTTTTATCAATTTTAAATTTGGTGTAATTTGTTCGGAGAGCCTGTTCTTGTGCACTGCAAATCAATGCTTCAGTACAGCCTTTCAAGTCACTTTTCTGTAGCCATCTCCAGGTGTTAACTTTGTCTTTGCCCTCCATTTCTCTGAGGTATTGACCATGCATCGCCTTGTCTTTCCAGGTGTTAATCCTTTCTTCTTGCTTGAGTTTTTTAAACTCGTTTGGTTTCATTGACTCTTGGCAAAGTGGGATTGTGTTGCTACCCTTAACTGCGACGAGCAATGGTTCATCATGGTTTCGTACGTACCAACCAAGACTGTTTACTTCTGTAACAACACAGCTCTTGCAACCTATCAGCCCTCTACCACCTTTACTTCGCGTTACGTATAACCGATCAACGTCACTCTTGGGGTGAAACTCCTTATTCATAGTCATAATTTTCCGAGTCTTGCGGTCCATCTCATCAAGCTCGGCAACATTCCATTTAATGATACCTGCCCCGTATCTCATTAATGACACTGCCCATGTGTTCATCGCCATGATTTTATTCCTTTCATGTAGTCTACTTTTCATAATAGCTTTTGCTCTACGTAGGTATTCTTTCCTGAAACTTTCTTTCACCTCACTATCCTTTATTTTGTCGAATTCTGTGATTCCAAGGTATTTATAGCCTTCATCCTCAACTTCCTTAATTGTGTCACCACTAGGCAATTCTAAACCATCTGTTTTCACCACCTTTCCTCGCTTTAAAATAAGTGTGCCACACTTCTTGGCCCCAAATTCCATTCCTATGTTATTTGAAAATATTTCTACAGTAGAGACCAATCCATTGATTTCACGTTCATTCTTCCCATAGATCTTAAGATCATTCATGAATAGCAAGTGATATAACTTTAGTCCACACTTCAGAGTGTAGCCCGTAGGGACTTTCCTTAATATGTCTGTGAGGGGAATCATACAGATCACAAATAAAAGAGGTGAAAGACTATCTCCTTGGAAAATCCCTCTCCTGATGTTGACCTTACCCAAGAATTCACCACACGATGTCAAATCCACATTCCAATTCCTCATAGATCTCATGATGAAACTAATAACATTATCCGCTACATTTGCCAGTTCCAGACTTTCGAGAATCCAGGAATGGGGGACCATATCATAGGCCTTCTTATAATCGATCCACGCCATTCCCAGGTTGGTATGTCTCTTCCTACAGTCATTCAGCACTGTTTTATCGATGAGCAGTTGGTCCTTCGTCCCTCTGCTTCTCCTCCTACAACCTTTCTGCTCATTTGGCAACTTATCAGCATCCTCCAAAAATTCATACAAAACGTTGGATATGATCCCTGTCATCAGCTTCCACATCAAAGGTAAACAAGAGATAGGCCGATAGTTGTCAACAGCATTTCCTTTGCCAGGATCTTTTTGGCATAGAACGGTCTTACCGGTGGTCATCCATTTGGGAATTTCAACTCCGTTGTTAATCATGTCATTTAATTGATCTGCAATTCTCTCATGCAATGCTGTGAAACTTTTCAACCAATACCCTTGTACCCCATCAGGTCCAGGGCATTTCCAGTTTGGGATCTTTCTTGTTTGCTGGATTACCATCTCAGTCGTAATTCTAATATCATCTTGTTTCCCATCGCCTTTGGCCGCTCGTAATTCTCTCAGCCATTCAGCATCTTTTTTATGATCTACTTTGTTATCCCATATGTTATTCCAAAACCGTTTACTTTCAATAGCATCAGGCTTTTCATTGCTGTTTACCTTTCCACCCAGCTGTTGGTAACCCCGTTTTTGGTCTTGTTGGAACAACCTGTTGATTTTGTATTGCTCGATTCTCTGTTCGTATCTCTTAATTTTCATAGATTTTGCTTTTAATCGTTGCTTCAGCTCATCTAATACTACTTTTAACCCCTTTCTTTTTATCCTATATTTCTGCTCAAGTTCCTTATATTTTTCCATTCTCTTCAAATCTCCCCTTTCCTTTCTTTCGAGTATATTGATGTGTTTACGTATTTCCTTAATTGACACCTTTATTCTCATTTTCCACCAAGGCTCTTTCATTCCATTAGCCCTTTTGCGATAAGGTTTGAGACCTACTTTTCTTCCTATCAAGATGGTGCAGGCTTTTATTAAGTTATTTGTTCCAGATATACTTTCTGTTACAATATTTCCCAAAACGTTATTCACCTCTTTTACATGTTTCCTGAGTAATGTTCTCTCCACCTTCTTAAACCCCTGTAGTTCCATGTCAAGATTGTGCTCAGTTATACTACTTATTTCTTCAATAATTTCTCTTTCCTCGTCAGTTAGTTCTTGTATATTCATCAACACGGAACCAGGTTGGTCATCCTCTGTACTATTACCTTCCACAACAGCCTCGTCAACATCTTGTTCTTCGCTTACACCCTATTCAAAGTTTACATTCACCATTCTTTTCCTAATCTCTTCAAGTTCTAGCGCTGTTAACCATTCATTTTTACGTATCATTCGAGCTTGGTCACACAATCTCTGCTCAGTTATATTGAAACTTTGTCTTTCCTTCCAAATATTATGCATCCTTCTTCTATAACCCCTAATTGGTTTACCATTTTCATCGACAGGATTACTCAAAAAATAGCACTCCATGACAGCTATATTCTTTTCCTTAGTCCATCCAGTCCTAGCAGTTGCATGATGACGACCAGGCCCACGCTGCTCACCCATGGGACACCTGCCGGGCGTGGTACCTTCAGCATCACTGCTTCCAGCACCATTCACGCCGTTGTTTCTACTACTTGTATATTCCTTAACACTCATAATGAGGGCAGTGTTGGTAAGGTGTCACAACCACCAGTGCTTTTATCGAGACACCATCTCTAAGGGGGTTGCCAACCAAGGCTGAAGAGTCCCCCTTACCCATGAAACAGACTAGCCCCCGCTGGATGTCAACCCGGTATTTCATGGCCTCGGGGAAATTATTATTATTATTATTATTATTATTATTATTATTATTATTATTATCATTACTATTATTATTATCATTGTTATTATTATTTTAATTATTCTTATAAGTATTATTATTATCATTGTTATTATTATTTAATTATTCTTATAAGTATTATTAACATTCTTATTATTATTATTATCATAATTATTAACTCATTATTATTACAATCATTATCATTGTTGCTATTAGTATGATTAGTATTACCATTACTGATATTATTATCAGCATTATCATAATCATTATTATTACTATTATTATTATCACTATTATTATTATTATTATTATTATTATTATTATTATTATTATTATTATCATTATTATTATCATTACTATTATTATCATCATCATCATTACTATTATTATCATCATCATCATTATTATTATTATCATTGTTATTGTTGTTATTATTATTATTATTATTATTGTTATTATTATTATTATTATTATTATTATTATTATTATTATTATTATCATTATCTTTATTATTATTATCATTTATTATTACTATTATTATTATTATTATTATTAATTCTCAACACAAAGCATATGATCTTTTTCGCTTTGGAATAGTCGCTGTGAATGCGGGCACCAACCAGCTGCCAAAGAACTCACAGGCCTCTTAACCAGATTTTTTTAGGAACCAAGTACCAATCTTAATACTCTTGCTGTCCCAAGTAGCGCTGTTTTCTGTACATGCTCGATACAAATTTCTATCCCAATCTCCTGCATAAATTTCCCAAGCCGATTTGTTATCGCTCCCAGTGCTCCAACGACAACCGGAATTACAGTCACTTTCTGCAGTTGCCACAGACGTGCAATCTCATCCTTCAATGGTTTGTACTTATCAATCTTTTCTATCTCTTTCTCGCATACTCTGACATCTCCAGGTATTGCAATATCTATGATTTTAACCTCTCTTTTTTGCTTGTCCACTACAACGATGTCCGGTCGGCGGGCCTCAATCTCCCTGTCACACTGAATCATGACATCCCACAAGATCTTATAATTAGTATTCTCAATTACCCCATCCGGCTTACGATCATACCATTTGTTGGCTTTGTCCAGTTCATATTTTTCACAGAGGCGCCAATGTACATACTTGGCAACATTATCATGCCTCCGCTTGTATTCCCTCTGCGCCAACATACTGCATTCACTTATAATATGTGTAACTGTTTCATTTTTATTGCCACACATTCTACAAAATGGGGAGTCAATGGTTTTATCAATTTTAAATTTGGTGTAATTTGTTCGGAGAGCCTGTTCTTGTGCATTGCAAATCAATGCTTCAGTACAGCCTTTCAAGTCACTTTTCTGTAGCCATCTCCAGGTGTTAACTTTGTCTTTGCCCTCCATTTCTCTGAGGTATTGACCATGCATCGCTTTGTCTTTCCAGGTGTTAATCCTTTCTTCTTGCTTGAGTTTTTTAAACTCGTTTGGTTTCATTGACTCTTGGCAAAGTGGGATTGTGTTGCTACCCTTAACTGCGACGAGTAATGGTTCATCATGGTTTCGTACGTACCAACCAAGACTGTTTTCTTCTGTAACAACACAGCTCTTGCAACCTATCAGCCCTCTGCCACCTTTACTTCGCGTTACGTATAACCGATCAACGTCACTCTTGGGGTGAAACTCCTTATTCATAGTCATAATTTTTCGAGTCTTGCGGTCCATCTCATCAAGCTCGGCAACATTCCATTTAATGATACCTGCCCCGTATCTCATTAATGACACTGCCCATGTGTTCATCGCCATGATTTTATTCCTTCCATGTAGTCTACTTTTCATAATAGCTTTTGCTCTACGTAGGTATTCTTTCCTGAAACTTTCTCTCACCTCACTATCCTTTATTTTGTCGAATTCTGTGATTCCAAGGTATTTATAGACTTCATCCTCAACTTCCTTAATTTTGTTACCACTAGGCAATTCTAAACCATCTGTTTTCACCACCTTTCCTCGCTTTAAAATAAGTGTGCCACACTTCTTGGCCCCAAATTCCATTCCTATGTTATTTGAAAATATTTCTACAGTAGAGACCAATCCATTGATTTCACGTTCATTCTTCCCATAGATCTTAAGATCATCCATGAATAGCAAGTGATTTAACTTTAATCCACACTTCAGAGTGTAGCCCGTAGGGACTTTCCTTAATATGTCTGTGAGGGGAATCATACAGATCACAAATAAAAGAGGTGAAAGACTATCTCCTTGGAAAATCCCTCTCCTGATGTTGACCTTACCCAAGAATTCACCACACGATGTCAAATCCACATTCCAATTCCTCATAGATCTCGTGATGAAACTAATAACATTATCCGCCACATTTGCCAGTTCCAGACTTTCGAGAATCCAGGAATGGGGGACCATATCATAGGCTTCTTATAATCGATCCACGCCATTCCCAGGTTGGTATGTCTCTTTCTACAGTCATTCAGCACTGTTTTATCGATGAGCAGTTGGTCCTTCGTCCCTCTGCTTCTCCTCCTGCAACCTTTCTGCTCATTTGGCAACTTATCAGCATCCTCCAAAAAATCATACAAAACGTTGGATATGATCCCTGTCATCAGCTTCCACATCAAAGGTAAACAAGAGATAGGCCGATAGTTGTCAGCAGCATTTCCTTTGTCAGGATCTTTTTGGCATAGAACGGTCTTACCGGTGGTCATCCATTTGGGAATTTCAACTCCGTTGTAAATCATGCCGTTTAATTGATCTGCAATTCTCTCATGCAATGCTGTGAAACTTTTCAACCAATACCCTTGTACCCCATCAGGTCCAGGGCATTTCCAGTTTGGGATCTTTCTTGTTTGCTGGATCACCATCTCAGTCGTAATTCTAATATCATCTTGTTTCCCATCGCCTTTAGCCGCTCGTAATTCTCTCAGCCATTCAGTATCTTTTTTATGATCTACTTTGTTATCCCAAATGTTACTCCAAAACTGTTTACTTTCAATAGCATCAGGCTTTTCATTGCTGTTTACCTTTCCACCCAGCTGTTGGTAAACCCGTTTTTGGTCTTGCTGGAACAACCTGTTGATTTTGTATTACTCGATTCTCTGTTCGTATCTCTTAATTTTCATAGATTTTGCTTTTAATCGTTGCTTCAGCACTTCTAATACTACTTTTAACCCCT